AAGAACAATTATGGTAGAAGACTGAATACAAAAAGCTAAGGAAAATTTACACACACAATCAATCTTGAAGAGTTAACAGGCATGAAAAGGGAGGTAGAGGGGAGCAAACGTTAATAAATAAGTTTAATAGAGGGCAACAGAATATAATTGATTAGACAATGTAATAAATTAATCAGTTGTAATTATTGTTATAAAACAAAGGGTGTATGAATGATTGAGGGAAAGACCATTATCTGAACTTTAGTTCGAGTAAGTTTAAATACACACCTAAAAGGGAGCTCTGACGGCTTAGTGCTAAGGAGTTGCACTGCCAACCACAAGGCCCGCGGTTTGAATCCACTGTCTGCTCAGCAGGAAGAAACCATCTGTCTCCTCCCATGTGATTTACTGCCTTGGAAAACCCCCTGGAGGGTCAGCTATGGGTCAGTTTCAACTCCACAGTCCATGACACCTATATACAGGATATAAATATATACACAGACACATGCCAAAAAAAGTCCAATGTAGCTTATCATTTTGACCAAAACTTTAGCTAATCATCAAAAGTTTCGAGCATGCTCTTCCCTTTTGTTTAACTATATTATGACCTTGAGTGTGTATTATTGACAGATTCTATGGGCAGAATCTTGCATGAAGAATAATGTGAGAGCAAGATTGGAGACTTAGCCTGCGTTACGCAGAGAACACAGCTTTGCCTGCAGAAGGTGACTAACACTTCCCATGGTACTTCAACAACTACAGCCGTAATTATGGGTTGCTGTTGTTGTTATGTGCCATCGAGTCGCCTGCAACTCATAGCGACCCTCTGTACAACAGCCCTAAACTCTGCCCTATCCTGCGCCAATCTCACCAAACCCAACACACCTACCCCAATTAAACCCAGTCACTGAATCAATCCATCTCGAGGATCTTCCTCTCTTGCGCTGTCCCTCCACCCTCCCAAGCATGACATCCCTCTCCAAGGATTGGTCCCTCCTTGCAACATGTCCAAAGTATGTCAGACGAAGCTTCAGAATCCTTGCCTCCGACTGGCTTCATCCTCTCCAGGACAAACCTGTCTGTTTTCCTAGCAGTCCATGGTATATTCAATAATCTTCTCCAGCACCACAGGTCAAAGGCATCAATTCTTCTCTCATCCCTAGTCATTGTCCAGCTCTCTGATGCATATGGGTTACACTGGTAAAACAGAAGGCTCCAACAGACGATGGAATACCAATTCACATGATCCAACAAATGCAGCTCTGGACGTGCTCATCAGTCTGTGCCAGAAAATTCAGAAGACAGCTACCTAGCCAGATTACTTAAGAGATACATGTTGGTTACCATCCCCAAGAAAGGTGATCCCACAGGATGTAGGAATTACTAAAGAATTTCATTAGCATTGCAAGTAAAGTCTTGCTGAAGAACATCCAGAAAAGGATGGAACTGTACAGTGACAGAACTGAATTTAGAAGAGGCCATAATGCTGGGGATATCAATGCTTATGTCAGATGCACCTTTGCCGAAAGCACAGAATACCAGGAGGATGGTTTTCTGTATTTTCTAGATTACGCAGGTATCTGACTGTATGGATGATAAGCTAGGGCTAACATTGAGAAAAGAATGGGAATCCCAGAACACTTACTCATGCATAGTCAAATGTACTCATGCGACACCCGTATCTAGACCAGGAGCTGCTGTCTGATTAATTAGATCAAGGTTCACAGCATGGCTTAAAATCTAGAAAGTACATCAAGATCGTTTGAAGACTAAGATGCCTCTGATTCAAGGTAGAATTTTTAAAATTGTTTCCTGTAAACATTCTGAACACTAAAGATGACAGAACAGTTGATGACTTTGAGCTGTTGTGCTTCAGATGAGTACTGAATATGCCATGGTGGCCAGAATTCTTACCACTGGACCAACAGGCAACATCATGACAGAGGAGAAAAGACTGAAGTTGTCAACAATTTCATCTTACTTGGATCCACAATCAACATCCTTGGTACCAGCACTCAGGATATCAGGAGACATACTACACTGGCAAGGTCTGCAGTCAGGGACCTCTCCAAATTATTGAGGAGCAATGATGTCAGTTTAAGGACTAAGGTGTGCCTGATTCAGGCCATGGTCTTTTCAATTATTTGTTTTGCATCTGAGAACTGGGCAATGAATAAGGATGACAGAATTGGTTCCTCTGAACTGTGGTGTTGGAAAAGAGTGCTGGATATCCCATGGACAGCAAAAGAACAAATAAATACATCTTAAAAGAGGGTGGTGCAGCCAGAATGCTCCCTGGAGGCAAAGATGAAAAGCTCTGTCTCATATATTTCAGGCATGTTTCCAGGAAAGGCTATTCCTTAAGACAGGGATGTCGTGCCTGAAAAGGTGGAGTGTCAGTGAAGACAGGAAGACCCGCAACTATATAGATTGACAGGGACTACTACAGTAAGCTTGAGTGTTCTGAAAGTGTGAGGACAGCACAGAGTAGGACAGAGCTCAGATCTGTACCTAAAATAAATAAAAAGGAGAGCACTGGTGGCTTAGTGGTAAGGAGTCAGTTACACTGTCAACTCAAAGGTTCAAATCCACCATCTATCTGCTCCACAGGAGAAAGAAGGGCAGTCTACTCCTGTGTGATTTACAGCCTCTGGAAACTCACCAGAGGATCAGCTATGAGTCAGTACTGACTTGATGGTATAATAGTAAACAAAGGGAGCTCTTAAGGAGTTGCACCATCAGCCCAATGGCACATACCTAGAATCCACCAACTGCTCCCCTGTAGGACGGGCAGTTTCCTCACAGGTGATTTACAGCCTCCGAAAACCATCTGGAGGGTCAGCCATGAGTTGGTTCCAACTTGAGAGCAAAGAACAATTTTAAAACTGAAATCTCAAGAGGAATGGCGGATTAGTGCCACCATGATGGAGCTGGAGAATGCAGAGGTGGCATCACAAGAAAACAGATGGGACACTGGAGAATGACAACTGATTATTACAAACTTAACCAGACGGTGAAGCCAAGCGCAGCTGTTCCAGATGTGTACGTCTCCAGAGAGCCAGCAGGCAGCTATTTATGTGGCCTTTCTGCAGGACCAGCAGCAGCAGATGGCTTTCAGCTGGTGAGGCCAACATGACACTTTCACAACCTTCCCTCAGAGGTGTACTTGAAGGCCAGCACTGTCATAATTCAGTCAGCAGGGACCTGAACCCTTCTCCTTCCCACAAGACTTCACACTAGTCCATTACATTGATGACATCATGCTGTCTGGATCTAATAAGGTTGAAGTATCAAGAATTCCAAATTTTTAGGAAAGTTAGGGGTGGAAAATGAACCTAAGAAAAATCCATGCACCTTCCACCTCAGTTAACACTTCTAGTTTAGTAAAGCAGGCCAGGTCACATATTCCATCTAAAGTTATGGATAAATTACGGAATCTGGTCCCACCCAAGAAGGCACATTACTTGCTGGGCCTCTTTAGATTTTAGGTATGCTATAGTCTACTTGATTGTGCTTATGCAAAACCTATACCTGGACCAGGAAGCAGTCCTCAGAACAGAGCAGGGAAACACTGCATGGTTCAAAATCAGGAGAGAAGTGCATCAGGGATGCATCCTGTCTCCATCTCTTTTCAATCTATATGCAGAATATTTGGGAAGCGGGGCTTTATGAGGAGGAATGTGGCATCAGGATTGGAGATAGACTCATCAACAACCTATGTTATACAGATGATACAATTTTGCTTGCTGAAATTGAAGATGACCTGACGTGCTTGCTGCAAAAAGTCAAGTGCTGTAGTCGTCAATATGGATTGAAGCTTAACATCAAGAAGACAAAGATTCTCACCACTGGGACAATGGGCAGCACCACGATAAATGGAAAAGAGATTAAGGTTGTTAACAATTACAGCTTGCTTGGCTCCACAATCAACCCTCATAACACCATCCATCAGGAAATCAAAAGATTAATTGCTTCAGAAAAATCTGCTGTCAGGGACTGCTCCAGAGTGCTGAAATGCAACAATGTTAGTCTAGAGACTAAGGTGTGTCTAATCAGGTCATGGTCTTCTCAATTGTTTGCTATGTACCAGAGAGCTGGACAATGACTAAGGATGACAGAACAACAGATAGATGCCTTCGAACTGTGGTGCTGGAGAAGAGACTTGAACATACCATGGACCACCAAGAGAACAAATAGGTCTGTCTTGGAGACAGTGAAACCAGGTTTCTCCTTGGAGGCTAGGATTTTGAAGCTTTGTCTCACATACTTTGGGCACATGGCTAGGAGAGACTGATCCTTAGAGAAGGAACTCATGCTTGGAAGGGTGGAGGGACAGAGCAGGAGAGCAAGATCCCGGATGAGATGGATTGATACAGGGCAGGGCAATGGAGGTTGGTGTGTCAGAATTAGCGAGCCTGGCTCAGGACAGGGCAGGGTTCAAAGCTTCTGTACGTAGTCGCTATGGGTCACAGGCAACTCGACAGCACCTAACAACAATGGCCTACTTATCAAGTGACTATTTCTGAGCTGATGGAGCTGTTGCTACAGCCTCCCTCTGCTTATGGTTACAGGAAGTTGAACTACCCTTTCTCACATCATGTACAAAGACAAGCTCAAAATGAGTCAACATCCTGAATGTCAGAGCAAACACTGGAAAGCTCTTAGAATAAAAAACTAAGGTAATTCTGTGGTCCTGTTTCTTAAGAAGGGATACCAATTATAACCAAAAATGAATAGATAATACACAGAATGGGATGACACATTAGAAAAATCATACCTCTAATGAAGGTCAGACCTATCAGGAGTTCTGGGGGGGTCTAGTGGTAAGAAGCTGCACTGCAATCTCAAAGGCACATGGTTCAAATCCACTAGCTGCTCCATGGGAAATGTGTGAGTAATGGGTAATCTCCTCCTGTGTGATAACTGCCTCTGAGAACCCACTGGATAATCAGTTATGGGTCAGTTCCAACTCAATAGTATACAACAATGAAGGACATACACCCAGAATAAATGTGGAAATGTTACAGTTCTTCTGGGTAAAGCTTCCCATGGACAACAGGTGCACATAAGGTTTCAAAATTTGGATGTCTCTTCAGATGTCTGCTGAGATGTGACTTCTGGATAAAGCCTCGCCCACACACTTTACAAACATAAGGCTTCTCTCCTGAGTGTGTCCTCTGGTGTGTGATGAGATGTGACTTCTGGGTAAAGTTCTGCCCACACTGCATGCAAACATAAGGCTTCTCCCCTGAATGTCTCCTCTGGTGTGTGATGAGAGTAGACATCTGGGCAAACCTTTGACCACACTCCTTGCAAACATAAGGCTTTTCTCCTGAGTGTCTCCTCTGATGTGTAGTGAGACTTGACTTATGAGTAAAGCTTTGCCCACACTCTTTGCAAGTATAAGGCTTCTCCCCAGAGTGTCTCCACTGGTGTGTGACGAGATAGGACTTCCGGGTAAAACTATGCCCACACTCCTTGCAAATATAACCCTTCTCCCCCGAATGTCTCCTTTGGTGTGTGATGAGAGTTGACTTTGTGGTAAAGCTCTGCCCACACTCCTGACAAATATACGGCTTCTCTCCTGAGTGTGTCCTCTGGTGTGTGATAAGCTTTGACTTCAGGGTAAAGCCTCGTCCACACTCCTTGCAAACATAAGGCTTCTCCCCTGAGTGTCTACTCTGGTGTGTGAGGAGGGTAGACTTCCTTGTAAAGCCTCGCTCACATTCCATGCAAATATAAGGCTTCTCTCCTGAATGTGTCCTCTGGTGTGTGATGAGATTTGATAATTGGCTAAACCCATGCCCACACTCCTTGCAAACATAAGGCCTCTCCCCTGAGTGTGTCCTCTGGTGTGTGATCAGAGTTGACAACTGGGTAAAGCCTCGCCCACACTCCTTACAAACGTAAGGCTTCTCCCCTGAGTGTCTCCTCTGGTGTCGGGTGAGATGGGATAATTTGGTAAAGCCTTGCCCACACTCCTTGCAAACATAGGGCCTCTCCTGGAAAAGAAGCCTCAGGTTTGTGGTAAAGTTGAATTTCAGGCCACAGCCTGGGAATGCCTCTCGATACATGACTGCTCCAAATCTTGAGGTTTGTAATTCCTTCCAACTTCGGTTTATTTCCAAAGAGTTCATCCTTGGTTCCAAGGTAGGCTGCAGTCCTACTCCCGAGTCTTCTCTGGGGCTTGCAAACTGTCTTTCAGGTGGGCTGGCAAATACCCTTGAAGCCTCTCTCACTCCTGTTTGCCTACACAAAGGTTTGGAGACAACTTCTCTCTCCTGGCCCTCTATCTTTGCACTCCAGCAAGGCTCAGGAGAATCCTGCGCCTCTTGCAGCTTCTGAGGCCCCAAGCTGGACTCTCCTTGGTGGACAAGATGATCTGTACATAAGTCTGGGAAGATCTGTAGCACATGTTGGCTGAGGAATTGTTGACAGTAGAAAGCCAGAAGGCAAGAGGAACAAGAGTAGATTTCGGGCTTTGTTTCTGCTGAAGAAAGAAAGTTTTCCATCAGAGGGGCTATAACTGGGTCTGCCTGAGAAGTTTTCCTCCTCTTAGAGCAATGCTAGTGTCCCTGAGAGGCATAGACATTTACGTGCTTGACTAGAAGCCAAAAGGCTGCCAGTTTTAAGTGGGATCTGGTGGCCTACTTCAAAAAGGTCAAAGCCTTCACTATCCTACTATGCACATGTGGGATCCCATGAGTCGATATGGACCTGAAGGCAAGTAAAACAATCTTATTGCCACACACGGAGCAATTTCTATAGCACAAATTATTTCCCACCAACGTCTCATTTACAGCCCAGTCTTACAAGTTACACTTTCCACTGCAATCTGGAATTCCTGACACGCAGACTTTACAGCATTTGGCTGCTAATGGAAAGTTTGTAGTGCAAATCTCTCAGCCTCACAATAGGAGAAATCTGATTCCATGCAGATGTACAGCCTTCTAATCTGTATGGGACATTTATGCTGTCCCACAGGGTAGCTATGAGAAATAAACCCAGTGAAAGTAGGTACTGCAATCCAGGTAATTCACACCAAGAACTTCTCCAGTGAAGTCAGTGAGACTAGGAACTTTCTAAGTAAGCTTCGATACTGCTTCTGCCTGCTAAACAGGACCTATTAAAGTGAGCCGTTTCCTTTTACTAAAACCTAAGTCACAAACAGACGAACACAGTGAACCCCTAAGATTTAGTGATTACATAGAAATTCCAATTCTACAAGCTATGTGACTATACCCTTTGTTACTTCTCTACCAAGGGACAGAGGGAAAGAAAATCAATCTGCCCAACATGCAATTATAGAGGACAATTTTTAAGTCTGAAAATAATAGTAACTGAATCTACATGAATGGTGCAACGGTCAAGATCAACCTAAAGCTGATTCTCATGACATGGACATCAGTGAGACACCCTACCCACCCTCCCTCTTATTTGCGAGCTGTGACACCACCCATCATCCCATGGTAGTCTTTTATGCTCTTCCACGTTCAATAAATCACTGTAAGACCACACAGTACTCACACACTGTCCTGAGAGTAAAGTGGTTTATTAGGAAGGAAAAGGGCACAACTCGGGACCAGGATCCACAGATTACAATTAAGGGTCACAAGTAGGAAGGTCTCCCCTCTTCAGTGCACTCAGTTCTCTCAGCTCCTCCAAAAACGTGAAGGTTAAAAATGTAGATAGAACCGGGTGATACAAATGCACTATTTTCAAGTAAAAGAGTGCAGGCTGCTTTCACCACCCAGGAATTTAGGTACATAGAAAAAGAATGTGCTAAAAAGCTGATTGAGGCTCCCAGTAACACTCAATGACAAAGAAGTACCCTACGAGGATTCCAAGGCTGTAAACCTTTATTTACAGAAGCAGACTCTGACTTCTTCCTCCTGTGGTCTGGCCGAGCGGCTGGAAAGCCCAGCTTTTCTGCCAGCAGCCAAGTGAACCATCACTGGATCCCCAGGGCTCCTCTGGCACATGGTAGGGACCTAATACCTATAAAGGGAGTTCATGAAGCAGAAAGAGCAGATACCTACCCAAGAACAGCAGATTCTTATACATCTCCAGCATCACTTCTCTGTAGAGATTCTTCTGCTCAGAGCTCAGTGTGTCCCATTCTGCCTCTGTGAAGTTCACACTGACATCTTCAAATGTAATAGCTTCCTAGAAAAAGTCACAGCAATTCAACCATCAATTTTTACAATAAGCCGAGTTTTCCACGGTCCAGAAGAGTCTGCATCTGAGACGTTCCATCACTCTTTTTCGGAGAACACCGTTCTACAGATTAAATTCTTCGGTTTAAGACCATAACTGGATCTATGATAAAGTCTGAGGGGAGCGATAGTTAATGATCAAAACCTCCCTGCTCTCATGCACCTGTGACTTGATTGGTGAAATGACTTGTGAAACACTTAGTAAGCCCTGTGTGAGAGTGCACTGAAGATTCCACGGACTGCCAAAATAACAAACAGATAGGTCTTGGAAAGGTGCAGCTAGAGTGCTCCTTGAAGCCAACGATGATAAAGCTTCTTCGTCTCATATATTTTAGACATGTTACTAGAAGAGGCATGTCCCCTGGAGAGACACATCATGCCTGAAAAGGCAGAGGGGCAGCGAAAGAGAAGGAGACTCTCAACCAGATGGTCTGACACAGTGACTGCAATAATGGGCTCAAGTAAGTCAGACACTGTGAGGATGGCACAGGATAGGACAGGGTTCCCATCTGCTGTTCGTAGGGCTGCTATGAGACATAATCTACTTGACAGCACCTAATAAAAAGAACATGAAAGCAGTAAGAAATGTTTAAAAAAGGTGACTCTGGGATTCATAGGGAGGAACTGAAAGTTGGCAGGGCAAAGGTTAGGAGAGGAAAGAACAGTGTGTAAAGCAAACAGGCACAAACTTCCTCAGGAAGGGAAGAATTAAAGAAGATGGAAGGAAACATCAAGTAAAAAGTAAAGTACGCATGCAGAGCTGGTGGTGTGTGGATCAAGTATTCTGAAGGGTTTATTTAAGTCAGTATGATCTGTAAAATCTTTGTCGTGTAATCACCTTTTCTAAGTCCTTTACACTTGATTCATGTAGAGTATAATCTACCTAAGCAAAAACAGTAGCAGAGAGAAAAATATTGTAGCAATAGGACATTTACACATAGTAGCATCAACAGAGTTGGTGTCAAGCAGTGCAGTAAGTCATGGTGTCACACCCTGTCCCTCCAATTGTACACAGGGCCAGCCAGGTGGAAACCTACCCCCACTGCTGGACCACTCCCTCATGGAGCCAGGCCAACATGTGCTGCTCCCCCCAGCCCTGACTTCCAAAGGGGCCCTGGTAGTGTATTAGACTATAGACTAAGTGTTGAGCTTCTAACTGAAGGGTCAGCAGGTCAAACCTACCAGTTGCTCTGCAGGGGGGGGAAAATGACTCAGTGGCTGCCATAAATATTTACAGCCTCACTTAACACTCCGGGGCAATACTGCTCCATCCTGTAGAGTTGGTTATGAGTCACAGCCTACCTGGCAGCAGTGGTCTGAACTGACAAGTACTTTATGAAAGGAGCTGGCACGGGCTTTGGCCATCTTTTATGGCTTCATTTTTCTTATTTTGTTTCTTTGCCTAGCAAATAACACACACTTAAACTATATAAATGTAATCTTGCAAATACAGAAATGGTACGTACATTTTGTCCAGCTTACCCTATTAAATAAATTAGAATGAACAAGTCTTTTCTTGAACTCTAAGCCAATGGTTAGAGGAGGTCAGGAAGGATTAGCTGGGTCCCCAGTCTCTGAGGGCATGAAACTCCAGGGACGCTTCTGAAGCATTTGAACAAACTAAGTGAAGGCATTTTAAGTAAAAACAAATTAAGATGCTATCTTACTGGGCATTCAGTGCCATCAATTCAGAGCGACCCTGTGAACAATAGATCCTATAATGGAACCCTGCCCTATCCTGTGCCACCTCATCCCATCTGTTACCTTTGAGGTCACTGTTACAGTCACTGTCAATCCATCTCACCGAAGAAATTCTTCTCCTTTGCCGACCCTCCACCTTTCCAAGCATGTCCTTTTCCAAGGACTGACCCCTCCTAACAACATGTCAAGAAATCGGTAATGAAGTTTCACTGTTCTTGCTTCTAGGAGCATGCTAGTCACACCTTCTCCAAGACATACCTGTTTGTTCTCTCTTATTATAGTTATCAGGAATTAGTAGACACTCATCATAAAATAACTGCACACAAGCAGTTTCTACTATACAGGAATTTAAAAAATCAGAACAATTATAGGGAGACACACCTGAAGTGAAAACAATAAAAGGCTCTGAACAAATATACACTTAAAAAACATTTATTCTGTTTTGTGGTGTATAGCCTAAAATAATTCCCACATCTGATTGGTGTTATACTGATAAGAGGTCAATAAGGATGTCAACACTCATTTGTTCTTATGCCACAAGTTGGGGGAAAAAATATACACCCTCTCTGCACCTCTCAATATGGTTAGGTTCCAGAGACCAAGCTGTGATGAAAATTGGTCCCAGGTGAAAATGGAGAACGAGAGTCTCAGATCCCAAAATGGACTATGACTAAATTATTACCTAACTAGCTAATTATACTGCCATGTAACTCCCTAACTGCTAGGAATCAAGGCCCTGTCAATTTGCACATAAACCTTAACCACCACAGGTAATGTTACCCTAACCTTTTACTGTGGTATTGATTACTGCCAGAATTGAGTGGATAAAGTGCAAAATATTCTAATAGCACATTTTTCCCTATCTTCCCAAAAGTGAAACATCTAACAAGATAGAGTCCAAGCATGAGAAGATTGTGTGTGTGTGCATGAGTGTATATATATGTATAAACACACACATACTCTCCCTCTTTCAGGTATTGTGTAAATTTATTCTTTATAACTACATAAAGCATTATGCAAAAGACAAATTTTGTTAAGTTTTACCAAAAAAGAGAATTTGATATAATCAAGGTTTTTATCTGACTAAAATTTCACAGGTTAATTTAGAAAACCTTAAATCACTTTAGTTTTATGAGCGGAACAACTTGGTGTGTGAA